TATATATATATGTGTGTGTGTGTTTACTATACCTGCAAAGTATGCACAAGGCATGGGACTAAGATTAGTCCTTTCTCTGCTAAGGCCATCAATATTTCTTGTTTTGTGGTAGCAGTGACTACCGCAGTTACTTTCTCCAGTTTTATATCCCACTCAGAAAAAAATACATCAAATACATTTCCCCACTCAGCAGTATCCATTTCTGAACCGCAGTGTAAAGTATCCAATACTTTTGTTTCTAGTACTGGATTAAATGACTGTTGAAAATGCACAGAAATGGTTATAAAGTATTCTCCATTGGAAGAATTCCATTCTTCAACACTTAAACCCATTTCACCTTGATGACATGATACCAAAGATTTAACACTTTCTTTAATAGTATCATAAATTCTCGGAATTAGCTCTCCTTCAAGTTTTGTTTTACTTGGAATTTTATATGGAGAGTGCAGTGTAGCTATTAGTCTTTGGAAACCTTTTCCTTCTACAACATCAGGTAACTGATGGTCCAGGATTACAAATTCTGCAATAGCATCGGAAATTGTTTTTTGACTGTCTTCCACAGAAGGCATTTGGCTATTTGTATTTTCCTCGGGTACAATTATGACCAACTTTTCATTTTCTATTCCAGGGCCAACTCGCACATTTTGATCACTAGATGATTCATCTTCATGTGTGCTCTGAAAAGTAATATTTGGATCTGTAATGAGGTTAATATCACCTTCTATTTGTACTGTTTTATCTGCAGATGTGGAAATATGGGGAGCACTGGGAGTATTTACTCTCTTTTGAGCACGTATCTCTTTATGATCTGCACCAAGTCGTCTGGGTAGACTTTCACTTTCTAATTCAAGCAGATCATGAGCATGTTTACTTTGTAAATGCTTCCTCAAGCTGCTTGTGTTACGACTATAAGTAATTTGAGTATTACATAAAATGCATACAATTTTAATTCTGGTAAGAATTTCCCCTTCATCAGATGCAGGAAACCCAAAGTATGTCCAATAAATGCTCCTCATAGACGAAGGCACCACCAACTTCTTGTAATTAATTGTATGTTTCTCCTCCCTTAGTTTATCTAATAGTATTTGCATATTCTGACCCATAATGTATTAACGAACACAGTTCTCTTACACACCGGTAACCAATTTGGACAGGTTATCAGAAATTAGGTATCATTGGTACACACCATACGAGGAAAATATTTTCCGAACGACGACGGCAAAACATGACGAAGCAATTTCTTTCTCCGAAATCTTTGCAAATGCACTCCCAATTATAACTTAAATACATGTGTTCCTTCTAATCGAGTTTTAAAGTTACTGCGATATTTGCGATAATCAACTTTTGACAAATAGATATCGAAGTTCAATCCCTCGTTTTGGTCGCAAATAGGGAGTTTGTGCACTCCCGAATGTTAAAACAATATCGATCTTCTGCGCGAGATCAGCTCAAGTTTCGCATGAGTTTAGTGCATCTGCACATGTGCAGAAGATAGGTAGTGTTATCCGCTTTAGCGTGCGCCAAACCACGGCGATCTTTAGTACAGGCCGCAAGGTAGAAATTTGGCAACGTGGCTTTTCAGGCCGACGGGATTCCTCGCGGGTCTCATACGGCAGGTTAAAATCATGAGATATGACCAGGATATTTTGAACTCAAATAATAAAATTAAAGCAATGTGAAATATAGTAAACAATTCGACCAAATCAAGTGGAAACTTTGTAGAGAATGCTGTTTTAAAAGATAACGACAGAAATGTGAACGATCCTGCAACAGTGGCTATTCTCTTTAACCAATACTTATCGAGAATTGCTCTCGATCTTAGTAAGGGTCTTCAGCCACAAAATTAAGCACCAGACGTTTCCCCCCAATATTAGGCACGATGTTTGTGTCCGAAACTTCTTCCTATGAAATCCTCAAAATAATCGGTAGACTAAAAAATAAATATTCGGCCTGTTTATATGACTTTCCGGATTGTTTGTTAGAGGTTTGTACGCCGGCCGTTATACACCCGTTAACTCACATATTTAATGTACCCTTATGCACAGAAATGTTTCGCGATATTTTTAAAATAGCTAATATTAAGCCGCTTTACAAAAAAGGCAACCAAAAAGAAATTCAAAATTATTAGCCAATTTTGTCTTTACGAAAGAAAATATTATTAAAACATTTAATACGAAGTGTCCTCTTTTATATAAGAAATGTATTCTTTTTTTTCAGAACGGAAATATGGTAACCCTAGTTGTTAGTAGTGGATGTGTGCGATAGTGCCAGCTGATTGAGTTGAATTCTGTTACTGTATCGTTATTCTTGTAATATTCGTTACTGTTTAGTTATTGCTATTATTTTGTTGTTGTTTAACGTTACGTGGTAGGTTTCGGCTTCAAGGTATACCATCACTTATACATTAAGGTTAGTACTTTTTTGTTAAATTAATTAAACGCAGATTCATTTTATGAAAAAACTAGTGCTGCTAAAGCACATACTTTGTCGTGTGGTTTCTAAAAGCTCTCTCCTCACATTTGTAACATTTGACACTGTTCATGAATTTAAAAGCATTCTCATCAACTGGCCTAACCAAAAAGATGAAGCAAAGACCTTTGTGATTCCAAATTTTGAACATCACAGTATTCATTTAGATCAGAGGTTCCCAAACATTGTTTTTCAAAGACCACTTTCAGATTCTCACAGGTTTTGGTGGAGCCCCTGCTGCTACATTTCTACCATATTCCCAAATCTCATCAAAAATGAGAAGATTAGATCTAATGATGGAAATTTGCGTCGCGGCTGAGCTCCAGTCCTAAATTCGGAGTGGTCAAAGTAAAAATAGTATATTTTCTTCTGATCAATTTATAAAAATACATGATTATAAACTTTACAGAATTAAAACTAAGCATTAATAACGTATCGTAACGTCAACAATGCAAATCAACAAATAAAAAATAATCATAATTTTATAAGAGGGATTGACAGCAAATTATCAATACAATATTTGGCTTTAGCTTTGTAAGGAATAATGGTTAAAATTTAGTATACGGTACACCCTTAGATAAGCGTGGCGGCGGTGCTTAAGCCCTAATTACTGTACGTGCTCTAATAAAAATGAATAAAACTTACGGATAGGCGATTTTCATAATTCGCCCTTCATACGGTTTGTCCTCGCCGCATTGTAACGCCAATTTACTTTCAAATGCAAGTTTTCTCGCTTCGCTCGCCCGGATCCAAGTCACGGCGAGGTCTGACCTCCGGCCCTCGCGTTCACTATGAACATCCTTGAGTCTATCCAACTTTCCAAGAAAGCCTCCAGAATTCTAACTGCCTAGTTAATCCGGAACGGCACGAAGTGCCGGTTTAAACGACTTCCTTAGGTTGTACCGTATACTACATTTCAGTCGGAATAATTGCAAATCTCCCTGTTCTGTGATCTGCTTCTTCTTTTGTTAATAGGTTTGTAACGACACTAAAACATTTTTAGACAAGGAAAACTCTGTCAATAAGTTTTTTCGCAATTTCCCAGGATATTTTTCAAGCTTTTTCTGTCAGCAGCCAAAATACACTTTTTTAAAAATCACCTTCAGCTCCTGGTGTTAAGCTGGAGTAACTCCTCTTGTAATACCACGTTCAACGTTCAACACTTCCGTTTCATCAAATGGATTTATGATCCATGGCAGTATTTCCTTCGACAGAATATTTTCAAATATATTTTTGATCTCATCGCATTTTGATCTCATCATGCAGAGCATTTAAATGTTGAATGTATGTCTAAATATCCTCATCAAGTCATTCTGCCTGTGACAAGTACATAAACTTGGAGAATTCGTGCCCACTAATATTTAGCTTCAAAAGTTTCAATTTTCCAAGAAAAACTGAAATTACACTCTTTGCTTTCATTAAATATAGGCTGTCTTTTTGTAATTGCTAGTTAATGTCATTAATTTTTTTAAAGAAATCTCTCAAATATGCGATGTGTACATTATATTAAATCAGGTTTTCTTTTAAATCTGGATCTTTACTTTCCAGAAACTCTAAAACTAGATTCAAAACGTGAGTAAAATATTGTTAAGCTTTCGACAACCAGCGTACTTTAGTATGTAAGAGCAATCGTTGGAATTCGTCTCCATTTTCGTCGCACAACTGTGCAAATGAAGGGGTATTCAACGCAATGCTTCTTATGTTGTTAATTACTTGAACCACAAATTGAAGCGATTCGTGCAATCAATCCCTCAATATTTTGCTACCAGAGTCAATTACTTAATTTATTGCTACCAGGTGTTTTATGTGGATGACACAGTGAATTGCAGTTACTCCTAGTATAATTCTTTAAAATGGATTATAAACCCACGATATTACTCGAACATTGCAGGACCTCCAACTCCTGCAACCGAAATAATGTTTGGGAATGAAATAGATTTTTCGTTACAAATCACACAGGGCATTAAATTTTTATTCACCTTCAGTGTCCGTCTCTAAAGTTTTCGCGAATAGAAGCTCTTCATTCTTCGTCCAAAACAAATCGAACGTATGCCAATAATTATGTTTAATAACCAGGAAAAGTTTACTTGTCCAATAGAATAGAATACATTGAATGGGGTTATTTGCAGAAAAACTACACAAGAAGCCTTCAATATCAGAGCTCGTTTCATCAATACGTTTTGTACTGTGTTGTTTCTCAAAGGAATTCTTTTGAGTACGTCATATGGAGGTTCATGGAGAACAGTTTTTAAAACGTCTTCAACAGCGGGTAAAATTAACTGTTCTCTGATGTGTGTGGTTTTCCAGATTTCGCTATAAGCAATGAGATATTGTAAGTTGCGAGCAAGCCACCATCTTTACTTTGAGACGTTGAAGCGAACATACAGTGTACATACTGTGTCTCTTCATATTTCTCCTTCAATATTTGAAAATGTTTTAAATCTTTACCTACTTTATGAGGATGACACCTTCTTAGATGATCTTCGAGCTTCGAAGATTTCATAGAGTCATTGCTCAAAAGTTTGTTGCATAAAAGGCATATGGGCAATCGTTTGTCTGTCTTTCATGGGAGAAAACCAAATTTCAAATACTCACCACTGTACTGTCTACATTTCTTCTTAGTTTCAGCCAGGTTTCATGTCAGTTACCTACCTGTAAAGAAAAAAAATTGTTTTAGTAATCGTAAGGCTATTTTAAAAGGATATGAATATTTTAATAGAATAGAATAGGATTAATTAATTTTGAACTCCCGCGCGAAACGCATGGGCAGTTTTCGCCCCTCTAGGAGACCTGCACTGGTTCGCTGGAACGGCGCGCGTGGCCGACCTCCAGCGGTTTGAGGGTTCGCTGCAGGAACTAGCGACCAAATCCGAAAACCAATTTGGCCTCTTTCATAAATACCTATATAATGCCTCTCACACCCTTCAACGCCACGACGAGATGTCATCACGGACCCGTCAGTCCCTAGAAATTCTCAGTAATTCCACCGACGCCACGTTCCGTCAAGTGCAAATAGAATTCCGTGAGATCGAAATCGCGTCATCTATCTATTACCCTCTCCAGTGGCCTTGCATATAGGCACTTGGCTACCTCTCTGAGCTCCAAAGAGAAAGGTCAAAATTGTCCTGGGAATTAGAACTGCTGAGGCTGGACGTTTGTCCCCGGACGTTTACCCGAAGGGGAGTTTCGCCCTGCAAAAGGACATGCAAAACCCTCGCTTTCTAGTGAAATGGAAACTCCTTCCACCCTGGTAATGCCGTTGCGATATACAACCTCGCCGAAACACGAGTTTTATGGACCAGAGTAGGGCCGCAAGTTGCTATTCTTTTTCCCCTCGCCCGCTAGAACTCCACCTTCTTCCTGAACCGCACGCACCCTTTCCCTACACAAACACACACACACACAGAGGCCGTGCAAATCGCACCATCGTACTACAGACTAACGGTATGAGCTTGGACAAGTCTTCCGAACCATTTTGAACGTAGTTGCACTGCACTGCACTGCACTGCACTGACCTGACCTGCACTGAACGGAACGGAACTGAACAGAACGGAGCCGAGTCGAGCCAAGCCGAGCCGAGCCGA